TGAAGTAGTTAAATATAGGAACAAATTTTTCGCCTTCGATTGGTTTTGACAACACAGGAGGCCGGCTTATGTATGCTTTGATTTCTTTTAGTGCTACATCGCATTCTTTGTTCCACTCGAACTTTTTGTTTCCTTTCATAAGCTTGTAAAATGGGAGACACCTGTCGGTCGACCTCGAGATAAAACGATTCAGTGCCGCAATCTTTCCGGTAAGTCGTTGTACTTATCGGATCGACTTGGCGGTAGGGTATCTATGAATGTCGTAATCTGTTTTGATTGGCTTCGTTTCCCCTTTCCGCTAACAGATTCCCGAGGAATTCTCCCGAAGCCACTCCAAAAGTGTATTTAGTTAGGTTTAGTTTCATTCCGAACTTGTTAAGAATATCGAAGCATTCTTGGAGTTGAGAAACGTGGTCGCCTGCTTTTGATGACTTGACCAGCATGTTATCTATGTAGAATTCCATTGTTTTCCCGAGTTGGTTGGAAAACATCTTGTTTACCAGTCGTTGGTATGTAGCTCATGCATTCTTTAATCCGAAAGTCATTACTTTATAGCAGTAAGTGCCGCGTTCGGTGATAAAACTTGTTTTCTCCTGGTCTTCGAGGTTTCATGAGGATTTGGTTGTAGCCAGAGAAGGAATCAATGAATAATAGTAACTTGTGACCGGCCGTGGCTTCTACCAGGCGGTCGATGTGCAGTAATGGGAAGCTGTCCTTCGGACAGGCATTATTGAGATTGGTAAAATAAATACAGATTATCCACTTCCCGTTCTTCTTTTTTACCACAACGGGATTGGCGAGCCAATCAGGGTACTGGACTTCACGGGTAGAGCCAATCTTTAGCAACTTATCGACCTCATCTTCACAGCCTTTGAACGCTTGAGACCTAATTTTCTTTGCGGACATAGGTTTATTTCTCTATTCCTATGGGATTTCGGTTCGTTTTCTTTCCAAGTTTCCCTAAAGTTTTTATTTATTTTACGTAGAGCTTTTCGGGAGTCCTCTGATGACTCCTAAGATTCGGGGTTTGATGGGGTCCTGCGTCGAGATCATACTTGTTGGCTCGCTTTTACTGCAGAACATATACAGGCTGCTCTTGCTCTTCCTCTAGGGCAAGGTCGCGCTGGGCCCATTGAACTAGCAAACCCGGTTCGTTCAGCAAAAGCTCTTCGTAGTAAATTTTTTTTATATATTTTTTTAGTTTTGTAGACAGAGTGTATAATAATTATTTTGTGTGTTTATAGTTCAGGAAGCAGAACTCCTTCCAACAAAGACCCGGATGTGCCTACCGAGGTCGATCCAACGGGGAGAGCTCGGAAATCTCTTTGTGGTCCTATACTCCGTTCGAGATCGCAGGTGCAATCTCCTGGGCTCTATGCTAACCTGCTGACTGTTACCTTCCCAATAACCAGGACTCAAGTGGTTCCGACTAACTCATTCGAGTCTGTGGGTAACTGTTCTAGCGATGTAGGTGTCCATAACGTCACCACCCAAAATTGACGGTGTTTGATCGAGGTTTTGGCTTCTGGGAGTTTGAGCTTACCTCTCCCTGAGATCTCCCCCGTGAGAGCATCCGGAGAGGGCCCTTCTAGAGCCGGCATAGATCGATCCTCATTGAGGACGGAAAATGTGCCTTCTCCCATTGCTCTCCCTGAGGTCGAAGAGAACCTTCTCTACGATCCCGAGCGTCTTGCATGTGTGTGGCACAGGATCAGACCAAAGGATTGCGAGCTCCCTCCGCTGGACAAAATTCACAATCGGGAAGAATATGTTTGGATGGCGGTCGCGAATATTAAGGTGAGTGATCTATTTCCACTACAAGAAAACTCGTCTTTTACTAGGACGAGTTTTCCTCGTTATTTCCTAGTAAATGACCATTTACTAGGAACTTACGAGGAAACGCGTTTCGTCAAAACACGTTCATCGTAAAGCATTATTTCCTCGTAAGTTCCTAGCTAATTTACGAGGAAACATTTCCTCGTAAACGCGTGGAAAAGTTTTCCTCGTAAGGTCCTCGTAGTAATTCTTCGTAATGTCATAGTAAATTATTTCCTCGTAAACTCGTAGTACAATATTTACGAGGAACTTACTAGAAACATTTACGAGGACTTTACTTCGAAAGCTTTACGAGGATTTTGCTTCGAAATAATTTTTTCCTATTTAAAAAAAAAATTAAAAATTATATATATTAAAAAAAATAAAAAAGCAAATTATAAATAAAAAATTAAATAACAAAATATTTATAAATAACTAAATAATATACAATTAATAAGTTTTAAATTCATAATATACAGTTAAAAATTAAAAAAAAAACTAATAGGGATGCTGCTCGTGAAATTTATGCACGAAGTCGTCCTCTGCAATGTTGGCTGCCGGCTGTGAATGTGATGGTGGAGGCTGTTGGGGTGGAAGGGCTCCGCTTTCCCGTCTCTGACGCAATATCTCCGCCACGTGCGGGTTTCCAACCGCCATAATGTCGACGATCTCGGTGAGCGTACTCACATGAGACTGCGTCGCCTGCAACTCCGTCCGCAGCTGAGCATTGGCATCGTCATGTTGCTGAACATAAGACAATGTCACTGCGGGGACATCGTTAACCGAGCCAATCCCGACAATACGGCCCTATTTCCTAGGGACGACCTGTAAATAAAAATATTAATAACGTAAGGAAAAATTTAAATAAATAATAAAAATTAATATTAAAACAAATTATTTACCTCCTCATAAATCTTATCCACGTCAAGAGTGGATAATACGACTGGAGCCCCAGTCTGCTGAGTCAGCTGGGTCTGGCGTTCGTCAACTCGGGCAACAACCTCGTTGTAGATCCGCTCGGAAGCAGGATCTACAAACTGCCCATCCTTTTTTCGGTGGGTCCGCTCGTAAAGGTCTTTCAGAGATGGAAGAACTCATGTCTCTTTAGCCTAAATTTTTTTTTAAAATTAAATATTAATTTGGAATATTCAAATAGAGTAAAAATTAAATAGTTATTAAAAATCATCTTACCATGTCTAGACGAACTCCCCCGTGAGGTTTTCGGCCCGTGGTGTGAAGCATCTTCGTGTTGCCATACTCGTCTGTGGTCATGTGGTTCTCGGAGTTTGTCTGGGAGGTTCTGACCGAGTCCGGCAACCCCCAATAGCTGATGAGGCCATCCCACATCGTGGTTGTGAGGCAATCGGGTTTCCCGTGCTCGTAACCATTCACCTGATTTAAAATAATTAGAATTAAAGTCAATAATATTTTTAAAACTATACATATATTATAATTTATAAATCTATACCTGAAATTCGCCCTTCCAGTTGTAGACCATGTCGAACAATCGTGCTCTTGCCTTGGCCTCGAACTCCGACTTCACCCGCTGGTGAATCCCAATAGACCAACGTTATTTTTGCTGTAACCAAAAAAATAAGAGACGGATTAGTTCAATAATATTAATAATTTTAAATGATTAAAAATAAATTAAGTTGATTTACTAAACTTACATCGAACGATTTGAACCACGTCTTTTTTGTGTGGTTCGCTGTCATCTTCCAGTTTGGAGCTGCATCGGGAAAGTATCCCTTGATACAGTCCGTGACGCTAGATCCGACACAATTATCAAGACCAAACCTGGAAAGACAGAAAATAAATCATCAATTAGATTAATTAATTTAAAAATATTTTGTTAATTAAGAAATAAATTTAAAAAACTTTTTTAAAATTAAAACATACCATAATACGTTTTGGCCGTCCCGTCGGATAGGATCTAACTCTGGCGGCCCTTCTCTGCCTTGTAGGGCCAAAATATCCTCCACAGTTTATCGATTCGAACAGATGTTTTTTGTCATCGCTCTTCGATTATGTCGAGCTTATCGATTAGTACATCTTCTTTGAGATCGGCATTATCCGGACACAGTTTGCGTCGCTGGCTTGGAACCTCGATCTCAGCCGGGATTACGGCTTCAACTCCGAAGGAGAGAGAGAGAAAGGGGTTTCTGTGCGGTGTTGTTCGGCACGCCCATTGGACACTGTGCAGTTCTTCTCCCCATCTTTAATTTAAGTCGATCCTCTTTTTAAGGTTATCCATTATGGTTTTGTTCGCGGTTTCGGCGTGTCCATTGCATTTCGGGTATCGTGAACTCGCTGTTTTTACCTTTTTCTTCCAATTATCGCAAAAGGTAGTAAATGCTTTGGATATATATGAACTGCGAGCCGTTGTCGGTTATTATTTTGTATGGTAATTCGTGTCGGTATACGATGTTTCTCCAAATGAACTTGATCACTGTGTCAGTTGTTATTTTGTGATATGCTTCGGCTTCGATCCTTTTAATGAAATAATTGATCAGTATTAGGAGAAAACGCAGTCTTGTTGGTTTGGAGGGTACCAACGGTCCAACTACATCCATAGACCACTTTATGAAGGGATATGCTGATGATATCGATGAGAGCTTCTGAGTGGGCTGATGTATCATTGGCGCGTATCGCTGGCATTTATCGCATTTTAATGAGAATTACTCGCAATCGTCAACGATAGTTGGTCAAATATACCCATGTTTCTTGATCCAAAAATACAGTTTACCATGTCAGAATTTAGAAGGAATATAAATAATATATAAGATAGATGATTAATCCAGTTATCATTTTTAAATTAGAAAGTCATCAAACTTAACAATTTATTTATTATACTTATATTTCCAGAGTTGGAATCCTATTTCTCCCTATAATAACCACATAGGTTTTGTTCCACATGCAGACACACTTCTCACTTAAAGAAAATGGAGAAGACCTCTTTACAAAGTTACAACGTTATGCCTCTATTGGCATTTTCTTTGGTCCTATTTCTTAACACGGAGCTGAGTTTTCTTACACATGTAAGAGCCCTAGACAACAACAGCAAGGCATGTAACGCGAAAAGAACCTTTCGATATTTTTTTTTTTTTTGAGAGATTGTTTTTTTAGAGTATTTAAGAGATTATTGATTTTTTCGTTTTCATGTAAGTTTTTCAATGATTCCATAGATTTATATAGTTTATCTCGGAGAAAGAGTACATGAAGACCCCGAACTTCTTACAGCCTCTCATTATCAACTTCTTGAATCACTTCTTGAGAGGTACTTACTTTAATCATCTTCAAATAAAAAGTAAAAATCTCTATAGACTTACTGATATTACTGAACTTGTTTATGCTGTATGCACAGTAAATATGTATATTATCTTCGTAGAATAAAAAATACATTTATCTTCATTTATCGTCATGTTCTGTGTCTTAACATAACCTAGGCTTTCCTCTGTTTTTCCTTTTGTCTATCATGAGCTCATGCCTCACTTAAATCTCTCTTGTTATATGCAGCAAAGAAGATGTACATAACTCAATGATCTACAGCTATCAACATGGCTTCTCCGGTTTCGCCGCACTTCTTACATCTTCACAAGCAAAGGAAATATCAGGTACTCAACAAAACCCTTGAGAAAAATTTATATATTTTAGCGTTGATCACTTAATTTGGTTTCTAAACCGGGATCTTGTATATAAACTCAGAGCATCCAGAAGTAATCCATGTTATACCAAACCGGATTCTGAAATTGAAAACAACAAGAACATGGGATCACCTTGGTCTCACTCCAATTCCAACTTCTTTTTCTTCTTCATCTGTGAAAAGTCTTCTTCATGACACCAACATGGGCAGTGAAGCTATCATCGGCGTCATTGATTCCGGTATTTTCATTGTCTCTCACTCTCAAACGTTCTCTCCATCTCTCCTTGTCTCACGTCATGTATTGATATATATAGGAATATGGCCAGAGTCAAAGGTATTCAACGACCAAGGCCTTGAACCGATACCTAAGCGTTGGAGAGGAAAATGTGAATCAGGAGAACAGTTTAACGCCACAATTCATTGCAACAAAAAGCTTATAGGAGCTAAGTACTATGTAAAAGGCCTACTGGCCGGGACTGGAGGAGAATTACAACCAGTCACGGCACACATACAGCCACGATAGCTGCCGGCTCATTCGTCCCCAATGCAAGCTATTATGGTCTAGCCCGAGGTACTGAATAGTAGCATTCACCACATAAATTATCTTGAGAATCAAGGTTCTTGTTTAATGACCGGCCTTGATATTTTAGACACAGTAGGCGATTTTAGTACAGGTTTTAATAATTTTTTATTATAAATTTGGGAGGTTTTTATATATATAAAATATTCCTCAAAAGTTTTGGGGTCATAGACAATATTTAATTCGGTTTTGCCCAGACTGACCATATGATGTTCAGGTGTTTTTTCTTTTGAATTAACCACAGTGTCCTAAAGCTAAAACCAACCAACTATCTGTGGGCCCTAGTGACTATTCAGTTTTGTAAGACATTACTTTGTTACCCTTATCAGGTACGGTCCGAGGTGGTGCTCCTAAGGCCCGGATAGCCTCATACAAGGTGTGTTGGAATGTAATGGGAGACGACGGAGAAACCGATGGTAGCTGCTCACTTGTTGATGAGTGGAAGGCGGTTGATGATGCTATACACGATGGGGTTGATGTTATGTCTGTTTCTCTTGGTGGGACTATTCCAGATGATTCCGAGGTTGATAAGCTTGAGTTTATTGCGGCTTTTCATGCGGTGGCCAAAGGGATTCCGGTCGTTGCTTCGGCAGGTAACGAAGGGCCTGGTGCTCAGACTGTTGTCAATGCTGCTCCATGGCTTTTGACCGTTGCTGCTACTGCTCTTGACCGGTCTTTTCTTACCAAGATCACTCTTGGGAATAAACAAATCTTCTTGGTACGTTTTAATACCAAAACCTAAATAGATTGGCTCATTTCTCTAATATATATTTAAGATATTTTCCAGTTTCCTATGGAGATGTTTTGTGTCTATACTAACAGCAATAGCTTGAACTATCGGGTTTACCTGATTTTTACTTAAGTTTAATAATAACTTTTCAAATATTGAAAAGGAAAATATGATTAGCTAGGGTATCCGTGGATAACTCTAAAATTATCTGGTTTTGTTCGGACTACCCTATTAATACAGGGTTTGTTTCGGTTTTTTCAAATTTGGGCTATTTTTGGCAGGTTATTTTCGGGTTGGGCCGAGTAAGGTTATTTTAGCCATGAAAACATCCCTGTTTTGAAGTTTTTAGCCATCTTAACTTCTTTTTCTTTGTTGGTGTCAAAATAGGTTGAATCTCTGTACACTGGACCGGAGATTTCAACCGGTTTAGCTTTCTTGAACTCAAACAGTGATGATAATTCTGATGTGAAGGGGAAAACAGTTCTTGTTTTCGATAGTCTCACTCCAGTCGCAGGGAAAGGTGTAGCAGGAGTCATCTTAGCCCAAAAGCCTGACGATCTTCTTTCTCGGTGCAAGGATTTTGCGTGCATTTTTACAGATTACGAGCTTGGAACCGATATTTTACAATACATACGTTCCAGCAGGTCCTCTAATCTTGAAGCAAATAAACTGTTTATGAAGTGTTATCTCTTTTTCTACAAACATCATCATTGATCCCACGTCTAACCACAGATCTCCAACAGTGAGAATCAGCGCGGCTACCACATTAACAGGCTTGCCTGCAACAGCAAAGGTTGCTGCATTCTCATCTAGAGGGCCTAACTCTGTTTCACCAGCCATTCTCAAGGTTATAGACAAAGCTTGTGTCATCTCCAATAATATATGGTTACAACAGAAGTTGAAGCCTTTTTGATTAGATAATTGATCACACTTTTCTCGGTAGCCTGATATAGCAGCTCCAGGTGTGAGCATACTTGCGGCAATGAATCCGCTTGTTCCTTACGCACACCAAGGATTTGGACTCGATTCAGGGACATCCATGTCGACTCCTGTTGTTTCAGGAATCATAGCTCTACTCAAGTCTCTACACCCTACTTGGTCTCCTGCTGCATTTAAATCAGCTTTGGTCACAACAGGTTCTTGCTTAGTTTTTCACCTATTTATTCTTATTTAATTACACAAGAAAAACTGACTAACATATCTCATTTTTGAAGCTTGGAGGACAAGTCCATCTGGTGAACCTATTTTTGCTGAAGGATCAAACAAGAAGCTTGCAGATCCATTTGACTATGGTGGAGGTCTTGTAAACCCTGAAAAGGCCGCAGACCCTGGACTAGTCTATGATATGGGGACGGAAGATTACATAAACTATATGTGTGCCGCAGGTTACAAAGACTCCTCAATCTCTAGTGTGGTCGGTAAAAAGACAAAGTGTCCAACTCCTCCAACTCCTAAACCATCAATTCTTGATATCAACTTACCTTCAATTACAATTCCAAATCTTGAGAAAGAAGTTACACTCACAAGAAGTGTAACCAATGTTGGACCTATCAAGTCAGTCTATAAAGCTGTGATTGAGTCTCCTCTTGGCATAACCGTCGCAGTCAACCCGACCACACTTGTGTTTAGCTCTGAAGATAAGAAGGTGCTCACTTTCACGGTGAAGGTTAAGACGAGTTATAAAGTCAACACTGGTTACTTGTTTGGAAGCTTGACATGGACTGACGGTGTTCATGATGTTCAAATCCCTGTCTCTGTTCGGACAAAGATCCCCATCAAGGCTTAACATTGTAACTCAAAACTATCTGAAAATAAATGATGTCGATGAACTCCATCTATTAGAAAGAGCCATATGATGCTCAGGGTCTTTGTTCTTATTGTAGTGTTGTTGTGAATTTCAATTCAAGGTGTGGCGAATAAAAATCATTATTATAAAGATGAAATCACCAAAATCTTATAATCTCTTACACAACAAACACACATATGAGGAAACCGTTAAGTGTCCTAATTTATTCGTTATCGTTAACAATAACATTATTGTTGTGACTTGTTAATTTGTTGTGGCTTGTTTAATTTGTTACAATATTTAAAAAAATGAAAACCATAACTTTGAATCCTCATGCACTAATGTTGTGACTTGTTAATTTGTCTCAAAGTTCGACATGAGAAACTCCAAATGCAGTTCGTGCGTGTGGCATATATATTGAACATCTTTTAATGTATTATTGATGGAGGAAATGATAGATTCTAAAATTTACATGTTTTTTCTTCTAGTTGCCTTCGAATAAAGTCAGACAAATAATTTGACACACACATTTCCGCAGAGCAACCAAACGGTGACCCATGAAAGGCTATACGACCAATTAATGGTACTTATTGAGTCATTAGAAGATTACGGATGTGATTGGGATTAAGACTTTGAAGATTTTAGAAGATTTGACAGCTTTAACAACTTTTTTTTTCATTGACTTTGTTGAATAATGACTTGAATCTGTTGGGCCTTACTGTTTTGAGACCCATTTGAACTAGGGTTTTTTAGGACACAACTGTATATATTGTGTGCCTCATCTAAACAAAATTAGCAGTCGTATTAGAGATAAATTAGATCTGTTTTTCCTGTAGACAGATCTCTGTAACTCCTCCATAAATAAAATACTCTCTTTGTCCGTGGACGTAGCCGTTAGGGGCGAACCACGTTAAATCTCCGTGTCTTTCTTTTCTGTTCATCTATTCTGTTAATCTGTTTCTTCTCACGTCCGTCACAACAAACTGGTATCAGAGCTTCGGGTTGAATTTGGTGAGAAGATGTCTGGGATGATCATGTAGATCGACAAGTTTACTGGAAGGAACAGTTTCAGTCTCTGGCAAATCAATATGAAGGCGTTGCTGAAGCAACAAGATCTTTGGGCACCGTTGTCAGAGAAGAAGGTTGAACCTGTTACAGCTGAGATGGAGATTACTGAAGAGAAGGCGTATTCAACGGTTTTGTTGTGTCTGGCAGATGAGATCATCATCGAAGTTTTTGGTGCTGATACTGCAGCTGGTTTGTGGTCTAAGTTGGAGGGTCTATACATGACGAAGTCTCTGACTAAGAAACTGCTTCTGAAACAACGTCTCTTCGCTCTGAGGATGCATGAAGGTACACAACTTCAGGATCATCTTGATAGTATAAATTCTATTATGTTAGATCTGAGGAATATAGACGTTAGGGTGGAGGATGAGGATGCAACACTAATTATGTTGGTATCACTGCCTAACTCCTATGAGAGCTTTGTTCAATCATTCATAGGGAGTAAGGATACAGTGAGTTTGGAGGAAGTCAGGTCGGCACTTCACAGCAGGGAACAAAGCATCTAGTTCTGGTACAGATGACCAAGCTTCTGGGTTGTTTGTAGGTGGTGGAAAGAACTTTGGAAAAGGCAAAAGGTCGAAAGACAAAAAGTCGTTTTCAAAGGGTCATAAACCAACTGATATTTGCAATTACTGCAAAGAGAGAGGGCATTTGGAAATCGGATTGTCTTAAGAACAAGAAGCAAGCTGGTTCCGCTGCGGTAGCCGAGGATGAAGCTAAGTCTGATAACGATATTGCACTGGTTGCTCATGCAAAATCACATCCTAGAGATGTGTGGGTCCTGGACACTGGCACATCCTATCATATGTGTCCAAGGAGGGAATGGTTCTAAGAGTACGAGGAAGTGACTGATGCCAAGATAAAGATGGCGAATGAATTTGCTTGCGATATTGCAGGAATTGGTTCCATTAATCTCAAGACACATGAGGGTGGAATCTATACATTGACTAGAGTTAGACATGTTCCGTCTATGTCCAAGAACTTGATCTCAATTAGTCTTTTGGATAGCATAGGTTTTAAGTATTCAGGTGGAGATGGAGTTTTGAATGTCTACAGAGGTTCAGTTGTGATTTTGAGAGGCTTCATTCATGGTACTCTGTATTTGTTAGACGGCTCTACAGCTTTAGGTTCAGCAAATGTTGCATCTCCAGAGGTTCGCAAGGAAGATATGGACAAGCTGTGGCATATGAGGCTTGGACATAAGGGTGAGCGTGGGATGCAGATTTTATCAAAGAAAGATCTTTTTTGTGGTCATAAGACCAAGAGTCTTGAGTTCTGTGAGCACTGTGTGTTTGGGAAGCTATATAGAAATAAGTTTCCTAAGGTTGTTCACAAGACAAAAGGCACGCTGGATTACATCCATTCAGATTGTTGGGGTCCCTAAGGTGGAGTCGCTGAAAGGTCACAGGTATTTTGTGTATATTATTGATGATTATTCGAGGAAGACTTGGATAACATTCATGAAACATAAATGTGAAGCTTTCAACAGCTTTAAGGAGTGGAAGATATTGGTGGAGAATCAAACAGAGAAGAAGATTAAAAGGCTTCGTACTGATAATGGTGTGGAATTCTGTTCATCAGAGTTCAATCAGTTTTGTAAGGATGCAGGAATTGCTAGGCATCATACAATCAGGTATACACCACAGCAGAATGGTGTAGCTGAGAGAATGAACTAGACATTGCTGGAGAGAGCGAGGTGCATGCTTTCAAATGCTGGTTTAGAGAAGAGGTTTTGGGCTGAGGCAGTGAACACAGCTTGTTATTTGATCAATCTGGGACCACATACTGGGATCGAGTGTCGAATACCTAATGAGGTGTGGTCAGGAAGGTCTGCTGATTACTCTATTCTGAGAGTCTTTGGTTACACAGTTTACTATCATGTTGATGAACGAAAGCTGGAACCAAGAGCTAAGAAGGGAGTGCTAATGGGCTATGGAGATGGTGTCAAGGGATACAAAATTTGGTCTCCTTCTGAGAAGCGAGTGATCATGAGCAGGAATGTTGGGTTTGATGAGAGTTTTATGATCAAAGTTTCAGCTGAGTCTCTTTCAGAAGCAGAGCAGGAGGATTTTGACAAGCAGGTGGAGCTGCAGGAAGTGTAGTCGGATGAACCATGTCGGTCAATAACGGATCAACAGTGTCGATTGACGTCGGCCGTTCAGTGTAGATAGATGTCAGATGGTCAGGATCGATCGACATCGGAAGAAAAGATCGATCGATCATTGACAAACGAGCAGCCAGAGACGTCTAATTCTGAGAGTCAGCTTGTTGGGTCTGAAAAACGCAGTATTGCTAAAGATAGACCAAGGAGAGTTGATGTCAGGCCACCAGCGAAATATCGGTTTGAAGATATGGTGGGTTATGCACTACAAGTTGCAGAGGAAGTGGACACTTACGAGCCGTCTACTTACAGAGAAGCCATCTCAAGTTATGCATCTGAGAAATGGTTTGCTGCAATGGGAGATGAGATGGAATCTCATGAAAAGAATCACACATGAGATCTGGTCACACTACCACATGGGAGAAAGGTTGTGACCTGCAAGTGGATTTACAAGTTAAAAGATGGTTAATCACCAGAAGAAGGACCAAAGTACAAATGTCAAGTTGTTGCTAGAGGTTTCAGTCAAAGAAAAGGCGTGGACTACAATGAGATCTTCTCACCTGTGGTCAGACACACTTCTATCAGAGTGCTATTGGTGATAGTGGCACGTCAGGATCTGGAGTTGGAGAAACTTGATGTGAAGACTGCTTTTCATCATGGAGAACTTGAGGAGGAGATCTATATGAATCAACCTGAGGGTTTTCTGGTTCCTGGTAAGGAAGATCATGTTTTCAAGTTGAGGAAGTCACTTTATGGACTTAAGCAGTCTCCTAGACAGCGGTACAAGAGGTTTGACAGCTATATGGTCAATTTGGGCTACAATAGGGGTCCTTATGATTGTTGTGTCTACATGAGTAAGGTGGAGGATGGATCATATATCTACTTGGTGGTTTATGTAGACGACATGCTGATAGCTGCCAAGAAGAAGTGTGATATTCAGAAGCTGAAAGAGCTACTGAGTTCTGAGTTTGAGATGAAAGATTTGGGTGTTGCGAAGAAGATTCTAGGAATGGAGATCTTCAGAGATAGGGCAAAGAAGAAGTTGTTCTTGTCACATAAAGCCTACATTGAAAAGGTTTTGACGAGATTTGATATGCTTAATGATAAGCCTATCGATACTCCATGTGCTACAAACTTTCATCCTACCATGAGTGATGAAATGTCTGAAGGGGAAATCGATTATATGTCACGAGTTTCATATGCTAGTGCTGTAGGAAGTCTGATGTATGATATGGTCTGTACAAGACCAGATCTTGCACATGCAGTGAGTGTGGCGAGCAGGTTTATGGTTCAGCCACGCAAGGAGTACTGGATGGCTGTGAAGAGGATTTTCCGGTACCTTAAGGGTACATCTGATGTTGGTCTTGTCTATGGAGACAAGGATCCAAGACTGGTTACTGGTTATTCTGATTCAGATTATGCAGGAGATGTGGACAGCAGGAGATCTATGATTGGTTACGTATTTACTTTGGGTGGTTCTGTTGTGAGCAGGAAGGCAACTTTGCAGTCGACGGTGACTTTGTCTACAACTGATGCAAAGTATATGGCATTGACAGAAGCGGCTAAGGAGGCAATATGGTTAAGAGGATTGGTCAGTGATCTTGGTCTTCATCATGATCAGGCTAATGTGTTCTGTGATAGTTTGAGTGTTATCTGTTTAGCCAAGGATCAGGTTCATCATGAGAGAACCAAGCATATCGATGTAAGATACCATTTTCTAAGAGATGAGAAGAGGATTGAAGTGAAGAAGGTAGGAACAGCTGATAATCATGCAGATATGTTCACTAAGCCGGTTCCTCAGAGCAAGTTCAAGCATTGTCTTGATTTGCTGAAC